AAAGTCAGCCTCAGCACTTCTTCGAGGCACTGAGAAACTCAGCAAGACCCTGACTCTAAATAAATAGAAAAAAGGGCTGGGGATGTGGCTGAGTGGTCAAGAGCCCCTAGGTTCAATCCCCATTATCAAAAAACAAAATAAGGTAGGAATGTAGCTCAGTGATAAGAACACTGGATTCAAGCTTCAGTACCCCCCACTGCACAGTGAAGTCAGGAAATAACAGTAGTTTACCTGTTTGTTTCACTTTTCTGAGCATCATCTCACAAACTCCCACCCACCAACTTTATTGCAGTTTTATGTTACAAATCAGAACTAGAAGCATTCTCAGGGATCTTCTGCTATATGAATCATAGGGCAAAATCTCCTTTTTCGGGGGTGCCAGGCATTGAACCCAGGGGCACTTAACCACTGAGCCACTTCACCAGCCCGTTGCTTAGGGCCTAATTGCCAAGGCTGTTCTCAAAATTGTGGTCCTCCTGCCTCAGCCTTCCAAGTTGTTGGGATTACAGGTGTGCACCACCACACCTGGCTCATAGAACAAAGTCAAAACTGAAGCCCACTAGGTGTTAAAAGGGGCTGTATGATGGCAGACCGTTTCCTGACTGCATCTCTGTGTGGAGAGGTACACTGGGGCTTGAACCCAGTGCTCTATCACTGAGATACACTCCGAACCTTTTTTAAATTTTGAGACAGGGTATTGCTTAGACTGCCTAGAAGCCAAGTTCACAGGAGGCTTTTCATTTAAGAAAGTAGTATAGCCAGATGTGGTGGCACACGCGTGTAATTCCAACAATTTATAAAGCTGAGGCAAGAGGATCACAGGTTTGAAGGCAGCTTCAGCGTTTAGTGAAGCCATGAGCAACTTAGTGAGACCTTGTCTCAAAATAAAAAAATTTTAAAAAGGCTGGGGATGTTGCTCATGGTAGGTTCAGCACTGGTAGGTTCAATACTTACCCCCGCCCCCCGCCAAAAAAAAAAAAAGTAGCATCCTAGAGAAGACTATGGCGTCTTGACGGGTCTAGGTTCAACTCTCAGTTCTTCAACTTTCTAACTCTATCCTGAGAATTCACACAGCATCTTAGAGTCACAATTTCCTGATCTGCAAAGTGGTTGTAATAATATCTACCTGGGGCTGAAGATAGAGTTCAGTGTTTTCCTAGCATGCATGAAGCCCAGGGTTCAATCCCCAGCACAGAATGAACAAAAGAAAAAAAAAATCTACCTGTTAAATCCCTAGAGATGGGAACTAAATGATATAATGGGTGTTAAGTACTTAATTGATGGTACATTTTCAACAATGTTTGTTTCTCTGTTTCCTTCTAGCTACAAGTGGAGTTGGCATATGTCTTAATAATATGAGTCAGAAGGGGAAGGTTCAAATGAACACAGCATTTTTTTCCCCCATCTGGATAACGATAATTCTCACAATGGTGTTCTGTAGGCACCACAAAATCTGGAAATGATTCTCCAATCGTCAAAGAAAGATTGCATTTTAACTGTGTGGAATGAAACGGTTTATATTTGGGAAGAAATTTTGCCTCTACACAGTCCTCCTCACTTGAGAACTGGGCCACCATGAACGAGTCCCTTATCTCTGTTTTCAGCTCCTCATCCACTAAACAGGAATGGTATTGTTTGCTTACTTATAGAACTGTTTGTGGGGTGCAGGTTGTGAGACATCTTACAAATAAGTGCACCCGGGAGATGCGAGATGTAGTTAAATGCATCCTTAACTGCTTTGCAGAACTTGTTTCCAGGACTCTGACTTCTCCCCCCGGTGGACTGTGAGCATCACGGGGGCACGGGTCTGATCTGTGTCCAAGACCTGGCGTGGAAAAACACCTGCTCAGTGACTCTCTTGGACGGAGGTGCTACTCTGATGTAAGGCCGCTGGATTGTAATTCCAACCCTGTGATCAACCCTGGGGTGACCAAACGAATCCCGGCGGAAGGAAATCTAATAGATATAGAAGCTATTACTCCGTAGTTCGTGCTAGTATCTCCAAATTTTAAACATTTTTACTTTTTTCACTTATTGAGACACGGTTTCGTTAAATTGCCAGGTTGGCCTCGAACTTGGCGACCTTCCTGCCTCAGTCTCCCCGGTAGCTGGGGCTTGTGCCACAGCGCATGGCAAACTTGAATGTTTTCCTTTTTCTACTTATATTTTAAACACGCCTAAAGCTACACGCAGTGTGGCTTCTTGACTTTCCTTCGTGATTGGCTGCAGATCACCTTTCCGTGATTGGCTACGACATCTGCCGGTTTCTTTTCCCTGATACGACAGGGGAAATGGGGGAAAAAAAAAAAGAGGGTCTTAAAAACCTCGCCGTTTTATTGGCTCGAGTAGGTACAGACGGCGGGGGCCCTAGGCTTTCAAATTTATGATTGGTTCTTATATCCGCCAGTCATGTTGCTGGAAATCCCGTCCAATTATCTTGTTCGTACTATACCCTCTCTGCCCGATTGGCTGGGAGGTGCAGGTTGGAAGGATCCTCATTGGTCCAAGAGCTCCAGCTTGTGAACCCTCCCCTCTCCCGGTTGCTGTGGTTGCAGGCCCGGCCCGCCTGCTCGCTCGCTGACAGCGAGACTTAGGGCGGAGGGAACTGGGTCCGTTGGTCGGTCGGGAACGAGGCTCCAGCGGCCAGGCCCGTGCGGAGCCGTTACCATGGCAGCCGCCGCCGGGGGCGCGGACGACGGTCCGCGCTCGGGCCGCTCGAGCTCGGATGGCGAGTGCGCGGTGGCGCCGGAGCCGCTGACGGAAGCCGAGGGCCTCTTCTCCTTCGCCGACTTCGGGTCTGCACTGGGCGGCGGCGCGGGCCTCCCAGGCCTCCCGGGCCGGGCGTCCGACGGGGCCCAGTCCCCGCTGCGCTACCTCCACGTCCTGTGGCAGCAGGACGCGGAGCCACGCGATGAGCTGCGCTGCAAGATCCCCGCCGGCCGGCTCAGGCGCGCCGCCAGGCCCCACCGCCGGCTCGGGCCCACCGGCAAGGAGGTGCACGGTGAGCGGCGCGAGCGGCGCTAGCGGCCGGCTCTGCCCAGCCGCTCGTCGCGGGGGACCTGGCGCGAGTTACTGGCCCCTTAGAACCGACCTCCGACTCCCCCTTTCCGGCAGCTTGGAGTCCTCCGACGGCTGGCTTAGAGCCCAGGGTGACCCTTCGGTCTCCTTTCAGTGATAATAATTAGTATAGCTGCTAAGGACTTTTTCTAAAAAAAGTCTTCCTGCTCGGAGCCGGTCTCTCCAGACTCCCCGCACTTTATAATTCCTGAGAAGAGATTTTCCACGACTGCGGGTTTTATTAGTAGATAATAATACGGGATTCTGAGAATACTTTCATCATCAGAGAGAGGGGAGGCTAGAGCCTATAGCTAGGTTGTACCTGCTTGCTTAAGTGCACAGACTCCTCTACCACACTCAGCCTTTTGGGGAAACTACAGGCGTTTCCAGCCCCGGTTTTCCATGTGTAAAATGGGTATAATACCTGCTTTACAGGAATGTTGCAAGAGCCAAGTAAGGTACCGAATGTCTTGAGGCAGGCTGTCTACCACTGAGTACATCCTGGCTCCTAAATCCTATATTTTGTGTGTGTGTGTTTGGTGCTGGGGATTGAACGCAGGGCCTTGTGCATGTGAGGCAAGCACTCTACCAACTGAGCTATATCCCCAGCCCTAAATCCTCTGACCATTTGACTTTCTTATCTTCATAATGAGATGTATTAGATCAGATATACTCTCTTGACTGATTCTTTGTAATCCTCACTAGAACTCTTTGAGAAACAGAAATTGTGACCATTTTAGTGATGAGGATCAGAGAAATTGTCTTCCTCCAGGTCACGTAGAAAGTGCATGTGCTGATATTAGAACCCAGGTCAATCACACTGAAAACTCCCGCTCTCAGATGTCTACCATATTGTCTTCTACCTTTTATGAATGACACTGAAACCAGGTCCTGAGATAGTAATAATATCGATATTTAGGATCTCCTCAAACAAATTATGATTAACCCATTTGTTGGTGTTGTGAAAATTAAAGTGCGGGACATGGTGGTGCTCACCTATAATCCCAGTGACATGGAGTCTGAGGCAAGAGAATTGCAAGTTCGAGGCCGGCCTTAGCAACTTAGCCAGGCCCTAACCAACCCAGTGAGACCCTGTCTTAAAATAAAAAAATAGGGGCTGGGGTTGTGGCTCAGTGGTAGAGTGCTCGCCTAGCACGTGCAAGGCCCTGGGTTTGATCCTCAGCACCACATAAAATAAAATGAAGATTATCGTGTCCAACTACAACTAAAAAATAAATATTTTAAAAATAAAATAAAATAAAAATAAAAAATAAAAGGGGGCTGGGAATGTGGCCCAGTGGTTAAGTGCTTCTAGGTTCCATCCCTGGTACCAAAAAAAAAAAGGAGCTATATATATTATGAGGTACTACATGGATGTAAGGATTTGTTATATCTGAGTTGCAATTTTTCGATCATTTCTCTGATGATGAAGGCATTGATTTCTATTAGCTCTAATATAGAAGTAGTATCATTAAAGGGGAGTATGTTTCCATTTGGAATTACCAAATTTAGGTAAGTCATTGGGAATGACCTGTTTGGGGAGGGGAATAGAAGATGATTGGTATAGTCAGTTCCCAAGAACTTCCATGTAAATCACCTCATTTTGCATTTGCAGCCATTTTGAGCTGGCAGGGCAACTCACCCTTGTTTTTCAGATGATAGAATGAGGAAAGGCCGTGGGGTGTTAACCAGCTCACTCAAGGTCAAACCCAAAAGTCAGAATTGCTACACAAAGTGGCCTTTGCTGTGGCTGAGGTGCGGTTCAAGTTTCTCCTTGTTCCCCGTGTGGTGTTGTGTACCCTGGCACCTTTACTTCCTTTTTTTTTTCCTTTTTGTTACTAGGGATTGAACTCAGGGGCCCTTAACCACTGGGCCACACACCCAGCCTTTTTTATATTTTATTTAGAGACAGGGTCTTTCTGAGTTACTTAGGGTTTCACTAAATTGCTGAGGCTGGCTTTGAACTCGAGATCCTCCTGCCTTAGCCTCCTGAGCTTCTGGAATTACAGGCATGCGCCACTGTGCCTGGCTGTTTCCTTTAGATACTGTGGTGGTTAAAGGGTGAATTAAGGAGGAATAGAACTAGTAAGCCCTCCTTGTAAGTCATGACTTTTTTTTTTTAATGGGCATTTCTTATTCTCGTCACAGCTTTGAAGAGACTGAGGGACTCTGCCAATGCCAACGATGTGGAAACAGGTGAGTGTGTGCTGTGGGTCCAGCTCCAGGGACCTGTGGGCTGCTGGGGAGGGGAAGGGCCAGGAATCAAAACCTGGGAAGACGCCGCCAGTTGGCCTGTTATTCGTTCTCTGGCTTTGTAGTCATTTTGAAGAAAGTAAGACAGCTTAAGTACTCACTCCCCTTGCTCCTTGTCACCTGGAACCGCCTGATCATGGCATCTTGGACCTGTGGGTCCCCTGTTGCTGGGGACCATGTCTGCTTTTGCACCCAGCACAACTCTCAGCAAGAGCTTTTGAACTTCAGGCTAATAGGAGTGAACTTACCTGCCAGGTGCCATCTGCCACCTCCAGCTGCTCCATGAGACTCTGGTCCTCAGATCAACTTGTGTGGTTGACAAGGCGTGGGCAGGGCCCTCACAGGACTCAGGGGACTGCTCTCCTGCATTCACTAGGTGGTGGCGGCAGCAGCAGCAGCGTGGAAGGCATCTAGACAGCTTCTAGGACAAAAGAAGTTAACTGTGTCCACTGGCTTAATTCTCCCTGTGAGTCAGGGGAAAGTGGTGCATTAGTTTTCTATCTGCTTTAACAGAGTACCCAAATGTAGTGGCTTAAGCCACATGAATGTATTTTCATGTAACTCCATAGGTCAGCAGTCCAACAGGGTCTCACTGACCAGGCTAAAATCTGGTGCCAGCTGGGCTGCATCTCTTTCCAGAGGTTCTGGGGAAAACGTGTTTCGCTGACTTTTCCAGCTCCTGGGGCCCCCTACAGTCCTTGCTTTGAAGTCTCTTCTACTGTCTCCAACTCCAGCTAAGAAGAGTCCTTCTAACCCTGCAGGTTCTCTGATGCTTGAAGCAGGGGAAGATTCTGATTTTAAGGACTCACAGGTGATTAGATTAGACCTGGATAATCCAAGATAATCCCTGCATCTCAAGGTCCTCAGCCTTGGTCAAATATGCAAAGTCCTTTTGGACACCTAACATCTACAAATTCTAAGAATTAGAATGGGGCATCTTGGGGGACCATTATTCTGCACATCATTCTGCTTTGGTGGTAGGATGCTGTGGTCAGCAGCTCAACTGTGAGCACCAATGACGAACTGTGGGTCACAGGCGCCCACTCGAAGCAGGGGTGAGGGCAGGTGTTGCCCGATGGGCTTCAGACTCTCCCCTTGCTTCTGGCACAGCAGTGGTCGGCAGGTCTAGCAACTGGAGGGGTTTCAACTCTCTTCACTTTGGTCTTTTTTCCATGAACTTTAATATTTTGGAATATTCAAGCAGCAACCTAAGATAGTTCCTCAATGAAAAACAGTAACCATTGTGTTTTTAATATCTCCAGTGTATGACCAGAGAATGTTTAATAACACTCACCTCCCACAGAAAGTTCAGTCTATCTTAAATCAGGTGGTTTTAGTACTTTGATAGAAATTCTGTAATTTTCCATTCAGAGCCTGTTAGATTTACCTGAAGGACTCAATGGTGTTTTTCACCATTACTTTTTTTTTTCTGGTACCAGGGATTAAACCCAGGGGCACTCAACCACTGAGCCACATCCCCAGCCCCCACCCTTCTTTTTAGTTGTAGACAGACACAATACCACAATACCTTTATTTTATTTATTTATTTTTATGTGGTGCTGAGGATTGAATCCAGCGCCTCACACGTGCTAGGCAAACGCTCCACCACTGAGCTACAATCCCAGCCTTTTTTTTTTTTTTTTTTAATATCGTATTTAGAGACAGGGTCTTGCTAAGTTGCTTAGGGCCTTGCTAAATTGCTGAGACTGGATTTGAACTTGTGACTCTCCTGCCTCAGCCTCTGGGCTGGGATTACCGTTTGCACCACTGTGCCTGGCTCACCATCATTTTCATGGCATTTATGGTGAGCATTTCTGTTCGTTCTGAACATGTTGGGTTTTATAAGATTTAACAATTATAATGAACATACAGTTTATATCCTGTTGTTATTGTCAAGTCATAAATGATTTTCTATGAGTTCCTGATCACTTAAAGTATGTTGAGGATGAAAATAACAGCTGCACTTAAAATGTTTCGGAAGTTATAAAAACATACAAGAAAAATATCCATACTGTTAGCAATGGATCTGATTGCTGTTCACTTTTTTTATAATTTTTCTTTTTTCATATATATATTTTGTTAGTTGTAGATGGACACACAATATCTTTATTTATTTTTATGTGGTGCTGAGGATCAAACCCAGTGCCACACACACATGCAAGGCAGATGCTTTACATAAGCTATAGCCCCAGCCCTGCTGTTCATTTTTTTTTAATATCTTTATTTTGCTTATTTATTTTTATGTGGTGCTGAGGATCGAACCCAGGGTCTCACACGTGCGAGGTGAGTGCTCTACTGCAGAGCCACAACCCCAGCAGTGTGTGCGCGTGCATACACACACACACACACACACACACACCGTGTTCATTTTTTATGGTGGCCAGGATTGTGGCTCAGGTAGAGCGCTTGCCTAGCACATGTGAGGCACTGGGTTCAATCCTCAGCACAACATAAAAATAAATAATAAAATACAGGTATTGTGTCCAACTACAACTAAAAAAATAAATAATAAATAAAAATATTTTGTTGGTATCTGTCCAGTCCCTTTTCCTGTGCATAGAAATTTTCTTTTTGGGGGCTGGGGATGTGGCTCAAGTGGTAGTATGCCCGCCTGGCATGCGCAAGGCACTGGGTTCGATCCTCAACACCAGATAAAAATAAAATATTGTGTCCACCTAAAACTAAAAAAAAAAAAAATTTTCTTTACGGGTTTAAAACGGCTATGTACACTTTTTTGTAGCCCACATAATATTTTGTATATTATAAACATAGTCTGTGTAACCATTTGTTTTATCAAAATGCAAATATCTAACCAGGTGTAGTCACACACACCTGTAATCCCAATACTTAGGAGGCTGAGGCAAGAGGGCTGCAAGTTCAGGGCCAGCCTCAGATATTTTAGCAAGGCCCTAAGCACTGTCTGGAGGGACCCCAGCGCTGCTGTCCCCCCGCTGGAGACTGAAGCTCAGCTAATACTGCTGCTGTCCCCTTCCTCCCCACCCTGGTGGTGTCAGTGCAGCAGCTGCTGGAAGATGGCACCGATCCCTGTGCAGCTGACGACAAGGGCCGCACGGCTCTCCACTTTGCCTCCTGTAACGGCAACGACCAGATTGGTGAGTCCTGGGAGGGCCTGGGACTGGGCAGTGGGGGGAGCTGCCGCCTGCACAGCGGGGCTACAGGGAGAACCGGACAGGAAGGAACCTGGCACCACAGCCCCCTGCCCCTTCACCTGTGGAACCAGCACTGCCAGATGGGGAAGGACCATGAGTGACTCTGAGGGAGGAGTCCACTGGCGGGGACAGAGCCCTAGACAACTGGCAGCTTTCCTCAGGGAGGTAGCAGGACGGCTGTTTTTGGTTTTAAATGTGGCGCAGCTTCAAACAGTGAACCGTGCCGTGTCCACCCCTGTCCATTCATCAGCTGTCTCAGCTCCTGGCAGCCCCACACCCTGTCTAGATCCCACCAGGCTCTCACCCTGTCTAGACCCCGTTCCCTGCCGTCTGGGCTGGGCTGCTTTTGAATTTCACATGAACAGAAGCACACAGCGGGCCCTCCTCTGGACACACCCTCAATCAAAGTTACATGGGGCGGTTCATCCAGGCACAAATGTTGTGCGGGTCAGTAACTTGTCCTTTCTTGTTCTGGTTACTACCTGGCTGTGTGCTCTTCCCCAGTTCACCTGTCTGTTGATGGACATGTGCATGGTTCCCAGGTCTGGGCTAGAGAATAAAGCTGCCGCAGACATTCTCGGACTTGCATTCGCTGCTTGACTCTGCGGGGTGCAAGCCCTGGAGAGGGAGTGGAAGCACCAGGGTGGACGTACCAAACTCTTCCCTAAAGTGGACGTCCCAGCCCCCCTTCCCCTCCTGCCAGCAGTGTCCCACATTGTCTCCCTCCCTCCCCATGCTTACTGCCAGTTCTTTTTAAATTTTAACAGCTCACAGTGGTTTAATTTGCATTTCCCTGCTGACCAGTGATATCGAGCACCTCCTTATGTATCTACTGGCCATTTGTAGGTCCTCTCATGTGAAGCATCTGTTCAAGTATTTTTGTCTATTTTCTAAACAAGTTTAGACATTTTTTTTTAAAGAGAGAGAGAATATTTTAATATTTATTTTTTAGTTATCGGCGGACACAACATCTTTGTTTGTATGTGGTGCTGAGGATCGAACCCGGGCTGCACGCATGCCAGGCGAGCGCGCTGCCTCTTGAGCCACATCCCCAGCCCCAAGTTTAGACATTTTTATGTGAAATTTTATTCTCGGCATTTTTAAAAAATGATTATAATTTTATTTTAAAAATTTTAGGCATTCTTTATATATTCTAGGTATGTATCCACTATTAGTGCCCTTCTCTCTTGAGTTTATCTTTCCCTTCTATGAGTGGTATCTTTTTTGGGGGGATGGGTAGATATTAGGATTGAACCCAGGTGCTTTATCACCAAGTTATATCCCTAGCACTTTTTACTGTTTATTTTGAGATAGGGTCTCCCTAAGTTGGAGAGGCTAGCCTTGAACTTGTGATCCTCCTGCCTCAGCCTCCCAAGTTTCTAGGAACACAAGCATGCACATAGCACATACCACTACCTACAGAGCTATATCCCCAGCCATGAGTGGTATCTTTTTTTTTTAATATTTTATTTTATTAGTTTTTGACGGACACAACATCTTTGTTTATATGTGGTGCTGAGGATAGAACCTGGGCCGCACGCATGCCAGGCGAGCGAGCTACCTCTTGAGCCACATCCCCAGCCCTGAGTGGTATCTTTTAATGAACACAAGTTCTTAATTTTAACGAATCTAGTTGATCAATCTTTTGTTTTTTTATGTTTAGTATTTTTGTGATTTTTACAAAATCTTAGCCTATCCCAGGGTCATGAAGATATTCCCTGGTTTTCTTCTAGAAGCCAGGCTATTCCACCTCTCACAGTTAGGTCTGTGGTACCTCTGGAATTAGTTTTTGTGTATGGTGTGAGGCTCAGTCCAGTGCTCCCGCACAGTGTCCTGGACCCAGTTGACCTTCCTGAGTATCCAGTAGGGTAACTGGCAAACCCTGGCAATACCACAGGCACCCCTGAGGTGACCCAAGACTGTCAAGAGGGGATGTCATTTACTGAGTTCAGCATCCTCAGTTGGCCTATTTCTCACTGTGGCACTTGGTCAAGGGAGGAGAAGAAAATGACGTGGGCAGCCTTCTCTAGTAACTTCCTGACCCCTAAAAATAGCCCCCTTGCGGGGTTGGAGATATGGCTCAAGCGGTAGCGTGCTTGTTTGGCATGCGTGCGGCCCGGGTTCAATCCTCAGCACCACATACCAACAAAGTTGTTGTGTCTGCCGATAACTAAAAAAATAAATAAATATTTAAAAAAAAAAAAAATCCCCCTTGCACCTGTGTGTGCTAAGGGGCCCTCCTGGGATCTTG